ATTCCTGCTCTACTACCAAGGTACAAATCTAGATGGAACAGCATATGAAGTTTAAAGAGAAAATGTGTTGAAAAACATTGAAAAAAGAGGGAGAAAAACTACTCTGTTTCTCTACAGGTCCTCCAAGGGCCAAAAGTCCCACACAATTTGTGATGAACAATTATAGCTGCATATAGGTGCTGTTATTGTCTGTTATATGAATGGCCTGTTAAAAACAGACTTTGAAATAATGCTGCAAAAATGGAGAAATAATAGCACATCTGAAACCGACTCACTGAAATGCAATTAACGTTGTATGGCTGCATTCAATAAATCACTATTCTTCTAAAAACGAATTTCTTCCTCAAAGAGTGCACTCCAATACAATGTACAGTACATAACCATATACAGACACAACAGACAAGCATTTGCAAGATGTGAGCTCAACATGCTACAGTAGCACTACTGCAGTACATTTTAACATGGAGGCCTCCAAACAGGCACACAACAGGGAGGGATGGCCTGAGATAGTGATGGGTGTCACAGATGAGGATGTGATGCTAGAAAGTCTATTCACAGCACAAGCACATCTACGTCATTAATGGGAGACAAACCAAATGTACATCACAATAGTAAGTAAAATGATCAACCTCCGCCACATCCATTTCATCATCAAAGGCAATCAGCTGAAAGAGAAAAGTATAGTGGGCAGAGAGTTAGTGAAGCTAGACTAGTGAGTTAAAGCTTGGTAACAAATGTTCAAATGTGAAGCCTGTCACAAGTGCACATATCAATAACAGTGAAGACCTAGCATGTTGAAGCTCAACACAAGTAAAACATTCTCCCACTTTAATGCTGTATTGTTTTGCAACATCAAAATCACAGAGGACATTAACCTTGTTTAACACCTATCAACAGTTTTCCAAAGTATTTTCCCTTGCACATATTCCTTCAATACGTCTGGCACACAATAACTGAAATGAGATTGTAGCATTAGCCTACAGTATATTCCATCGCATGCACAGTTGTAATGAAGAAACACGTCAGCCAGGGCAGTGGCGTGTTTTACTGATGTGTTGATGTGTTTTAATCATTTTTGAACAATGGAGGTCTATGGCACAGACAAATAGGCTGATCCAGGTTGGAGACTGACAGACATTAACTGTTAGCAAAGACAGTTCATTGGTGGTTTCAGTGTCTGCATAGAGATTGTTGAAAATACTACTAATATAGAAAATGACTGGCATTATCCTTTAAACCTCAGTAAAATGACTTGTCTTCACATTTCTTCATTTTTGATAGTTAAGAATATTACCACGATGATCACTTTCACAAAAAATCCAATTTCACTAGTTATAATTCACTGTCTATAAACAATAAAACATGAACTACTCTGTTGGGGGAATACTTTTGTAGTCCCTATACATATACATAAAGTTGTAAAATTAAATCAAAACTGCTTCTACCTCCACAAAGCTCTAGGGCAAACCTTTCAGACTTAGCCTGCTGTCATCACAAAGACAAACTTTGGCTTTAGACTGGGCTGAGTCTGTGGTAACAAACAGACAAAACAGATTCAGAAAACAGTGAAGCTGCCAATACACTATGGTCACAACAGCAATCATAGTTCTGACTCCCAGTCTAATCATAGGTATGTTGCATTAAAACACACCATCAGGCCTATCATGTTAAATTAATTTAATTCATTATAAAAAAAAAGTAAAGTAAAGATGACTGTTTTTAAATATTTCAAAACTAACACTCATGTTTAGTGTAGCAGCCTTCTTCAGTGTTGTTCTCCAACCTTTCTTGGTACATCAATTCCAGAAATTTTTGGTAGTTGAAGCAAAGTCAACACACAGTTTATAGGTCGACTTGGATTCGACCTGTAAAGCAGTAGTGCTATTGTTGATGTAGCCTTATACTAGAGAATAAGCTGACAGACTTGAGAGGATTCATTAGTGATTAGAACAAGAAGTCATTGGCAGCCAGTGAATGTAAAATGGTTGAGTGAAAGAGTTGGAACATGCATGCTGTTAATAGTGTTAATAATGTTGATAGGCTATTCATTACTGTGATCATTTGGACTAAAGTACATTTGGGTTAGAAAGCAGTTTGTCCCAGAGTTTGCCAAACATAAATCTTGCCTAGACAGCAGATATTCAAAAACTGCCCTGGCTGCTTGATTTTAAATTTCCTTTCAGAACTTGATGCTACACAGGCTCTAAAGGCAACCACAGAGAGCTCAGCCTCTGATTTACTGCTTTTTGATCTTGTGTCTTCTAGTAGATTTGGTGCAGGTGAAGCAGTGCATCCTGAGATGTGAGAAAAGTGTTTCTTTTCATGTGTGGGTGAATCTTGGGCACGACAACACACAGATGATGAGAAAAGTAACACAGAAGGTACACACCTTCTCCCCATAGCCACGGTCTTTTGTCATCATTTCTCTCAGTGTCTGCAACACTTTGATGCACAGGCGCTCCTCATTCTCCTCCAGCAACTGCTTGGTGTGTTTGATGAGTCTGGTAAGGAGAAGAAAAAACAACTGAATACATACAAATGGACTGATGAAAGCCATAGTTCTCCAACAAACAATCTAACTCCAACACTGAACATTCCTCAAACACTATGATAATCACACCAAATTATTTTGGCTGAGTTCCATCATACAGCAATTTCGTTTCAGCCCAAAACAACTGATTTGGAGGATAAGGGAGTTGCTTGTAAATGAAAATGGAAAAAAAAGCAAAGCAATGTGTTATTTAGCAGTGCATTGGAAAACTACTCATATGTGTGGTAGATGTTTTAAGTCATTCCCTAGAACTAGCGAAGGTTGACACACCTTTCCACAAAGTGCTGTACTCCACAATTGCAGCTATAAGTAGTAGGATAACACCTGTATGTCTCCCGACAGTACTGTGTAATCCAGTCGGAGCCCTGACCATGTAGAACAATAAAGTTATATCTCTGTGTGTGTGCCTATGTACATGTTGCTTCACGGCTATACTATATGCCTCTGCCAACTGGTCAAATTTACAGGAATGGGACAGATATGAGGTCAGCGTGACCTTGACCTTTGGCCACCAAAATCTATTTGAAGAAATTCTCTCATTGCAATCCAGAGATTTTGCGTCCACAAGAATGGAACGAGCATGAGGTCACTACATCAGAAGAAGAACGTAGCACCAAGCAGCAGAGTCGAGAGAGTGGTGAGATTAGGCAGCCAAAGAAAGAGAAGGGAATAGGGCAAAAACCCAAAGTAAATTGGTCTAGGGCTAGTGAGGGGGCATACTGGCAACAGTTAATTCCCATCAGGTAGATGCTCTAAAAGCACTGAAAAGGACAGCTGAGAAGAAGCTAGAGAAAATGGAAGATATAATTTATGAATACAGAGCGCAAAGGTTTGGAGTTTGCGAACGCAGAGATAAGAAAGTCAAGGCGGCAGCAGCAGCAGATTAGGAGGCTTGTTCAAGAACAAAGACAGCTTAGAAAACAGTGGCAAAAAGTAACAGAAAGTGAGAGAGAGGGCTTTAATACGTTGAAAAATGACCCGAAATCTAGGCTGGCAAATCTAAGGAGAGCAAAAAGGCTCAGCAAAGCTAGATGGAAAAAGGAACGAGTTAGGGCAGGCTTTTATGAAGATATAACTTCACCATTCACCAAATCCATATAAATTCACCAAGGCAATATTTAATAAGGAGAAAAGTGGCACCTTGAAAGTACCTAAGAGAACTACAGGCTTACTTAGAAAAGATGCATGTAGATGAAAATAGGACAGGAAACTAGGCCTGCCAGAACAGCCTATGAACACTAAAGCACCAACACTTACAGAAGTGGAAATGGTAGTTAGGTGAGCAAGAGCAGGATCAGCCTCTGGGCCTAATGGTGTGCCCTATAAGCTATACAAATGTGCTCCAGATGTGTTGAGGTTTTTTGTGGAGGCTTGTCAGAGTAGCACGTAAGAAGCAGCTTGTTTCTAAGTCCTGCAGAAGAGCAGGAGAGATTTTTATCTCCAAGGAGAAAGATTCAGCACAAGTGGGGCAGTTTAGATTGAACTGTCTTCCGAATGTACTGTAGAAGACTTCAACATAGTGGCACACAAATTCTTTGTGTGTGTAACATGCTTGGCCAAATAAAGGTGATTATTATTATTATAATTATTATTGCTGAGCTACCTAGAAAGGAATACGCTCATTGACACCTCAGTGAAAGCTGGAATAGCAGGTTTTTGTGGATATTAGGAGCACACAAGTATGATCTGGCATCAAATTCAGTCGGCAAAGAGGGGAAAAGAGAGCTAATGCCTTTGGTTCTGTACCACACAGCCTACTGTGGGAAGCATTAGCTTATTTTAAGAATAATCACCTTTATTTGGCCACGTATGTTACACACAAAGAATTTGTTTCCAGTACAGAGCCAAGGCAGCCATCTGCAGCGCCAACTCAACCAATGGCTCTAACCATCGGAGGCAACTTGGGGGTTCAGTGTCTTGCCCAAGGACACTTTGACATGTGGACTGCGGGCACTGTGATTCAAACCCCCAACCCTCCAGTTGGGAGACGGCCGCTCTACCCACTGAACCACAGTCACCCTGAAGTAAAGTACCATACTTAGTTAAAGGGCTAGTGAGATAATATTTTCAGGATATCCAGATATGTTTCACAACAGCAGAGTATATTAGAGCTTGGCAATTGGAAAGAGGCATTATGGCAGGATGCACAATCTTACCGCTAGTGTTTACCATGGCAATGGAGTTTATTTTTAGGGCATCTAGATGGGGTGCAGGAGGAGTGAGGCTTCCATCAAGGCAAAAGTTACCACCCATAACAGTGTACACAGATGACATGACAACTATCACCACCACAGCACCATGTACCAAAAGACTTTTAGACAAGCTGAATGCTAACTTAAAGTACAATAGAATGAAGGTGAAGCCAGAGAAATCAAGGAATATTTCAATAGTGAAAGGTGTGCTGTCAGATAAAAAAATTTGTATGAATGTCATGTCTGTGGCCAGCACCTCTGCCCCCTCACATGCCAGCAGCCTATCTAGGTGAGACATAAGGCTTCGGCAACTCTTAAACATGGGTATAATGTAGGGCAGGTACAGCATGGACATGGTGGTTTTGGTTTAAGCACATCACAACCTTATTGGAGCAAAGCAGCAGCAGCTGACAAAAGGAAAATGGTTAAAAAATGGCAGGAAGAAGCAGGTAGATGTGCAAAGGCAGTCTCCCAGGCTCAACAGGGGCAGTAGATGAGATGGGAGGGTATAGAAAGGAAGAAACTTAGTTGAAGGGAAATGCAGGCAGGGAGGATTAGATTCATTTTAGCCACAACTTATGATGTGCTTCCATCTCCCCAGAATCTGAATAGATGTATAGTTGAGGACCGGATATGTCCCTTGATTTCAGCAGTAGCATCACCTCGGCACATCCTCTCAGGGTGTAACACAAGCCTGGCTCAAGGACGATACACCAGGAGACATAATCAAGTGTTGAAATGTTTAGCAGAAGCTATTGAAAGTAGGTGCTTAGAGGTAAAGTCAGTGGAGAAGAAGAAGAAATAAAAGGTAATTTTGTTTGTGAGGGTGAAAAAGGCAGGAAGCAAGTCATTTAGAACAGGCAGGATGCAGGTCAGCTAAAGGCAGAGGGAGATTGGCAAATCAAAGTAGATTCAGGGAATCAGCTCATAGTTCCCGAGGAGATAGTCAGCACTAAACTCAGACCAGAACTTGTGTTGTGGTCAGAAGCACAGCGGACTGTGTATTTTGTCGAGCTATGAGAGGAAGAAACTGAAATACACAGAATTAACCATGGAGGCAAAAGAGTGTAGCTGGAACGTTAAAACATGTCCCATGGAGGGTGGTTGTAGGGGATTTGTAACCAAGTCAGCTGTCTCTCTGTTAGGTATAAACGGGCGAAGCCTAAGATAGATAATTAAGAATCTAGCTGATAGGGCACCAAGGTCCAGTGAGTGGCTCTGGAAAAGAAGAAAGGTGTGTGAATGGGGTAAAAATAGGTAAGTGGTTTGTAAATGGCAACATATGTGAGGAATATGCCCGTTAAGCTGAAGTAAACTAGCACAGGAGGACAGGCTTAGTAGCAGTGTTTGATACATGCAGCAAGCTTGAGGCTTACTTCCTGGTATTAGCATAAGCAAGCTAACATGAGGGCATAGTAGAAGTTTGACTCGTTTGTTGGAATGAACACAGTGGTTTCTGATGGAGTATAAAAGGAAGCAGAAGTCTGGCTAGTTATCTAGTGAGCTATTTGAAATATTTGGTGAGTTATTTTAAATGTTTAGTGGCTAGAACAGCAGTTGAAATGTTGGCTAGTGACCTTTTGGTAACAGTTAGCCTGAGCAGATGAAGGGTTGTGTTGGATGTGTGGATGCAGGCAGGGTGGTGGTTCTGGGATGCTGGAATACACTGTTGAACCTTCTCGGTGTCGTGGGCCCAACTCAACGAAACACCAGTTAGTGAGAGGGTACCCGCCTGAGGATCCTGTAGACTTGCCTTCACTCCTACATCCACACAAAACTTTATTATCACCAGCGCCAACACTAGTTACAGACTCACTGAAATTGTCAATAGTCTTCTTTTGTTAGACAGCTGCAGTAGAACAGTGTCAGTGGTTGGACAGCAGAGCAGACCTGGCTCTCAGAGGTGACTGCCATTATAAGCCACTGCTTAATCTGAGCAAATGCTGTGTGTCAAGCCGCATCTTTGCTCTTTGCTTGGGTGAGGATAGTGTTCAGGGATGCTTTGTGTAAGGGTAGGTTAGGTCTAAAAAATGGTGTTGCTTATTGTGGGGCTCTGAAGATTTATGAAGGAACAGATAGAAAACCCAAAAATATGGCTCCAGCTGCAGCTACTGCCGGCACAGAGACATAAAAACTCCTAGTCTCAACTATGACAATATTAACATTTACTAAATGTTAACTGTTGTGCTATAACATGATGGAAAAGCCAACACTGCAGTGTAGCATTCATATTTTCATCATTAAGTTGAATAAAGTCCCAGGCTGTTCTATCTCTAGCAGTTGGCCAAATTCTAAATATAACTATGCATTATCTAAAAGAAAGGGCCTTAACCCAGCTCTGACCTTGGTGGTTGTAGGGTCAGACTTACTTTGAAATAAACCCTCCACTTTCACATTTCTTGCGAGCTTCTGTGTTTTCAGGGAAGAGCAGCTCTGGACGATGCAGGACATCCACCAGCACCGAGAGCTCAGCTTGGACCAGCGGCCTCAGACGGTCCTCCAGTGCCGACACTATGTCCTAAAGAGACATACAGGTTAGACAAGACCCAAAACTGGAGTCTTACATGTTCTGGAGACAAACATGTTCTGTACTAAGTTCATAGACTTACTGTCAACTCTCACTCACAAAAAAATACCATCTCAGGTGGATTTAATCTCTAAAGTTATTCTCCTAATGAAGCATAGTTTTGAATATTTGCTGCTCCTGAAATTATTTTTCAAAATGTACATAACTACACCAATTTATTATCACATCACCATATAGTGTAGACTTGGTCTGAGCATGTACTGTATTGTCACATATTATTCATATATTCAAGAGGTTCTATTTTACAGTTTCAATGAGGTATAAATGGTGTATAATAAAAGCCAATATTTCTGAAAGTGTATTACATTAAAAGATTCACATTAGTTTGACTGTCACTCAGAGATAAATGACTGCTTCCATCACATTTCAGCCTCAAACATATCTTTCCCAATCCATTTCAGCCAAAAAAGCCAGTCAACCTCAAAATCAAAAAACAAAAAAGGTGACATATCAAGTATACTACATACCGTAAACAAATCAAACCATACAGTACTTATGACACACCACCACATCCCATTTCACTATGTACTGATGATTTGTGTGAAAATATGCAAATTTGTGAAGCCACATCATGAAGACTGCTGGTCTTGTGGCGATTACACTACACTACTGTGTGGGCTGTGTAGTGAGTGGGAGAACAAAAGGGCACAAACATGTGCATGTGAAAAAACAGACCGTGAACAGTGCTGTAGCATACTCTCTGAGAAATTCTATTCCCTAAATAGTGGCAAAAAAACAGGAAGTAAACCCTTTTGGAAACCACAGTCTCCGTCTTGGAATGGGCTGGAGAATGACTAAAAACAATCATGGGAGACTCTATTACAATATTATGACTATGTTCATCTTGTACTTAGAATTGTTTATGCTATTAAAAACAGTACTGCCACTTCAGCCAAGCCCCTGGGGCTCCTGGGGCTCTGTAAGTGGGAGTAACAGCCTAACTGAATGAGGTGGGTCAGATTTTTCAGACTTCTTGCAAATACTTAGTCATGTATTACAAGAAAACTGTGTGTAACAGCTTGGCTTCCAGCTTCCAGGATACAATTAAGAACCACTTCTTCAGTTTTCTCATTTATTTATTATCATTATTATTATTATTATTATTTCACAAAACAGTTATTAAAACTTACTGTGTTACTCTTGGCATATTACTCTACCGACAAGGAGAGACACTGGTGGGGACTGTTGGTGGTCTCGGACAGCAATGTTTTTTACCTACAGCTTGTAAATTACATTCAAGATATAAAGGCAGGCTGAGCTTACGCTACTTGAACCACACTCACTTACCCTAGAGAACAATAAAGTCAAGATTTTTACATGTTAGCACTAATTATTAATTAATACAGTGTATATATAGCCTTTGTGATTGTCAAGCTTACTGTTCTTCATTTCTTGACACAAAAACTCAGGGAAGAGGCAATCCTGCTTTTCTCACTCTCGTTGAGTGGTGAAAAATTTGGGTCAGATAGCCCAGATGGCTACCAGATAAGAAGTCAGGCAGGGAAATTTCCAAACAATTATATTGCTTTGATAGACTTTTAGTAGCATCAAATAGCCTGCGATTGATTAATAGGACTAAATGAGCAAATATTAAATGGAGTCTGGCCAATAGAATTCATGAACCTAACCACAGTAGCTCAAGGATCATTGCAAGATGAGATGTCATAAATCAATCAAAATGAATTAATAAAGAAAGTTATTAACTACTCTGGGATTAAATAACAAAATGAGTCCTACAGCCTACCTGTAGCCTCTCAATGATGTTTCTGTAGTCTTTAGAGGTAGTCAGGCAAGAGTCCCGTCTGGAAGTGTTTTTAGCTGACAGTCTCCAGTTAAGGATGCTCTTCTGCACAACGTTATTGGACTTGACAAACAAGTTGTTCACCTGACTGTCCAGATCGACTGGGATAGCAATGGCTCTGCTTTTAGCTGGGTAAAGGAAAGAATGTAGATATTTAATGCATTTAACAAGTGCCAAGGTTCCCTTTCTAATATAATAACAGAGGTTGGCAGTGGATTTTAGCCCCAGCAGCTTACCCACGTCTGAGAGTACTTTAATGCAAGCCTCCACTGAGGCCTTCTGAACAGGGTTAAGCCAGTTACAGTGGTATACCCTGAACACTCCCTGAAGCAGCTGTACAAATACTGGCTGACGAGTCTGTAAGACAGGAAAAAATAAATAAAAAAGAGAGTATAAGAAAGGAAGGAAAAAACGGGGGGAAAACTGTGAAAAATTAACAAACAGCAAAGAACAATTATGTTCCCTCGCTAGGGTGAACTCATGACCTAGTTTGCGCTAAACACATCAATGTGAGGATACTATATAGCACTTATGGTGGAAGCGGCCGCAGCTTCAGGTCAAATGCATCAGCTTTTTATAATCATGTGCACTCCCAACATAACAATCTTAACCAGCACTTAAAAGAAGTACATCAGATTTTTACCACAAGTCTATCAGGTGGCCACAGCCCTAAAGTACACTAAATACCTCAGCTGTCTATCCAAGAATGGGGGCCTGGTGCGAGAGAAAGAGGATCATGATATCATTCTGTATTGGTAAAACCTCCACAAAGGCAGAATTCTTAGAATGGTCGCATGAAAGACAATCAGCATTGCCTACTGAAGCCAACTTAAAATAACACCATATAACAAAAAACAGGTGGCCAAGTGGGAAACTCTGTGTAAAGCTACACCATAAAGTTGCTCCACAAGGGATTTGGCAATCTATGGAGGGTAGTGGTCATGATTTATTGGGAAAGTTGTGGGTGGCAGGACATCACTACAACAAAGTCTAGGAAACAGAGCGACTACATTGCGTCAGTACATCATCTACACAGTGTCCCAGCAAAAGCTTGTGCAATACGCCCACAGATCTGGGAACAACAGAGTCTGACTAAGCTATGAAAACCCACACAGTGAAGACACTTCTTAACATTCAGACCCCACTGATAAGTAGCACACCCAAAGGTTAGGACACAAGATGTGGGGGAGAGTGGCTGTTACTTGCATACATATGGCGAACCATCTATGCAACAGGAAGAATGTCATATTTTATAATTATACATTTATAGAGAGATGTTCCTCTTGCAGCGTGTTCTTTCATGAAGAATAATCGGAATCGAATATCAATTTTCAAACATTTATTATCATAACTAAACAGACCATCGAATAAAGCAATTTACAGAGCTCTGGGTTCCATCTCTATCTGAAGCCCTGACCTCAACAGCAAAACCGTTCAACCCGTCTTCAGGATGAGAAGGAACGCTATCCTCCTCCACTGAGTTGATTTTATACAATTTCAAATGTGCCCTTGTAGGCTGGTCCGGTCCTCTCGTGCTGTTCTATTGGTCCATCTATCCATCCGTCCTCCTCCTGCATCTTTTCTGCTCCAATGGGAAAAGCAGCTTCCTAAAGATGGAGGAAATTCTACTGTCTGAATTCCTACACTCACTTCTCTGTCTTTGTTACACTATATGTGACATGGCTTCCCGTTTGGCTAATTAAACTGTCTTGCCTGTGTGTCTGTATATTGCCCTGCCTTTGAAGTTGTCTTCCTCTTGTTGGCTTTTAGATCTAATCTCTTGTTTATTACCCTTAGTGTCCCAGTGACCCCAAATCCCCTGGAACTATGTAAACATAATTGTAACATATAAGTAAGCAAACTTATGTGTGCTCTAAACTAAATCTTAACTATGATAGAATTACCATACGCAAACAAAGTAAACACACAGGTTGACTAATCAACAAGCATAATGTTAATCTTCTACTAATTAAGTTCCTAATTCATCAAATGTTAGAATCAACCTTAAAGTATGACTTTGTTAATAATTTTACCCAACACTCTCTTTCAAACAACTAAACTCCACCATATACATGATTTATAGACTTTAAAAAACAATTGTAAGACTTCTTGTAATACAGTATGTATTTCATATGCTACACTCCACAGTCCAGATTACCTGCAGGCTTGTGCTCTGGTCAGAGAAAGGAGAGCTGAAGAAACATGTGACAATGCTCATGACTGTCTCAGTTACATAACGTTCCAGCATGGTATCCGCATGCTTCCTGTCACTGGTGTTGTTGCACACCTGGGCAAGGACAAAAAAAAAAAAAAGGTATTAGCATGATGCACTGGATCACACTTCCTGCATTTGGGTTAAAGGTAACATATGTTCACCACATACTACAGTCATGGCCAACAATATTGCCCCCCACCCCAAAGAATTTGTGACCGCAACAATTTTCTGGGCGAAGCAGCGAATTATCTGACAAAAATGCAGGGGGGCCAATATTGTTGGCCAAGACTGTATGTTAACATAATCACCCAAATTCATGACATACTGTAATATAAAGCAGAATAGTATTCCCCATGTATTGAGCACATCGTCAAATACATTGTGGCTTACCCTACAAATATCCACCAGGAAGTTCTCAAACAGCTTCCACATATGATTGGATGTATAAATTTCCTTCATCTCCACCTCTGTGTCAACATAGCAGTGGTTAAGGAAGTTGATATAAGCAATCTTCACCTGTTAGGATGCAAGCAAACACTTAATCAGACTCATTAATTTTATCTAAGATGGAACTGTTATCAGCCCAGAAAGTTCTATATGCAGCAACAGGTGTAGTTCCTCAGAATTTTAACAAAGTCACACATATGCTATGTCATTATCATCATCATCATCATCAGTTTTTGTTTTCTAGATTACCTAATTGAGTTGAGTGTCTAAGTATGTACAGAGAATGTTGTACAGATTGTAAATACTGGACTATATAAATAAAATTTTAACTTGACTCAACACATATAATGGCTCAAAACATATAAAAAAAAAAAAAAAAAAAAAAAAAAAAAAGGAGCATCTCCTAAACTGCAAAACTAATAAAAATAAATTCTGACTATACAATTGTCATAAATATGGATCACCATAATAAATACTACACATCTGTGAGGTGAAGATAAGAAAGGCACTTATAGGCATATATAGCCAAAACATAAAATCGTGTCCACGATGCTTCACAGAAGAAAATAATCTGCTAAAGATTTCTGTTCATCACATCCAGTACAGGAAAACACTAACGACTCCGGCAATAGTCTTATAGCCTTTTATGTAAACTTTGTTAAAATCTAATGTTTGTATAACTTGCACTGAGCATTTTGATGATTTAGTCTTCACTTAATTATAGTTTCAATGCTCCATCTTTGAGCTCACCTGTGTGTTATTGTTTTAAACAATGGACCAAACTCATTTAGACTAATCAATGTTTTTAGGGCAGCTTTAGTGAGTGTGACATTTCTTTAGACATGCCAGTAATATACACCAAGTGTAAAGGCCTAAAAAGAAGTCTTGTCAGCTTGTATATGTATTTATCAACTAACATGCAGCCAAGTGAACTTTATTGCAGGAGAACTGCAATATTTCAGTTATAAATAAATAAAGCACATTATTCATACCTCAGGGATACAGTCTTCATGGGTGACGACCCGCACAATATCATCCAAGGGCAGCAGGGAGTTGCACTTAATCTCAGTGTAGACATTCTTGCCTTCAGTGCAGACGGCCAACAGTTCAACCAGATGGATGTGGTACATTAGAGGGCTGTTTTCATCGATGCGGTCCCGTTCTGAACGCATCATCTGGACTAGGGTCTGGAAGGAGGCACGATCATTGTAGAAGACAAGGACATCCTCACCTGAATTCACCAGCTAAATGGGGGAGAGTCAGAGTAGCAAAACAGCCAGTTAGTCTTATGGTAACTCATTAACAACAGTACCTGTCTTTCTTTTTTAATCAGTGGCATAAAAATAAAATCATAGAACAAACCTCAGCCATGACAACGTCCTGACACTTCTTGATGAACTTGTTCTCGGCCTTCACAATGGTCTGCAGGAACTTGAGATACTGGACATGTCGACCATGAGTCTCAGTGCAGTGGACAAAGTGCTGAACAACGCGGTCACTGATCTCACTGCACAGCTGGAAGTTATTCATGAAGATGTGTTGCATGGTGACTGCTTCTAGGATCTGAGACAAATGAAAACAAGGGGACAGACCAAGTACAAGGTTGAACTGAGTGAATGTGATGTAAATTGTAGATCATTTTAGATTTGTTTTCCCATAGTAGATGTATAGAAAATGTCTGAACTCAATCACCAGGAGTAACCCTGAGATAACTATGATACCCACCCCTGGGTTAAGAAACAAGTTGATATGTTTGTGGAGAAGTGCTTGGTTCTGCTGGTTCCCTGCACAGAAATTCTGCAGGAACTCGTGAGCCAGTTTCATGATCTCCTGCATTCGGACATCTTCACCCTGGTGCAGACAACGCTTGTTTTTTTATTTCCACTAAAATAATGGGGAAATGAAAATGTGCAAAAGCTACATTATGTTTTAGAACTGTCTAATTATACAGTATTTAACACAGTACCTTCTCATAGGGGATTTGTAGGAGCTCCAGCACCACACTGTGAGCCCCCATGTTCCTCAGCAGCCTCTGCTGCTGTTTCTTACTCTTCCTCCCTGAGCTTCCTTCCTGGATACACAGCTTACTGAGGCGCAGCAAGATCTGAACACATAGCAGAGGGATTTTAATTACAGACAACAGGGTGCAAAGGTGAAAATAGAAGATTAAAATTCTAATGAGCATACCTCTTTTACAACCCTGTAGTTGTAACTGCTGGTGCTTTCCGTCTTCTTTTTGTCTGACTCAGGTGAATCCCCCTGTAAAGCAAAGCAATAAAGAGAAAAAAGCCCTATACGTTAGCCTTTAAATGAACTTCCTATTAGTGGTTCACCAAATGTTTCATGTTTTCAGATTTGTTCAGTGTACCTTTTTTTTGTTGTCAGGCTCTGATGGTCCGTCTCCATCCATCCCCTCTTCTCCTTGCCTCTTGTAAACCCAGAGTTCAGACTTCTCCACAATAGAACGGAGTTGGTCCAGATCTGACTTGATCTGCTTGTAGTTATCAACATCCTGACTTGTCACCAGTAGCTGAACCTAAGTGAAGGAAGAAAAGCATAAACTGGAAATTAATGTCAGAAATACTTACATTTCCAGGTTTTGTTTGTTTCATAACTCAGAAACTTGTGAGTCCAAATGTGTACAGGGTCAGATGTTAAAAAGGAGTGTTAATGAATGGCAGGGCTCACTTGTTTAAAGGCCATGAGGACCTCCTGCCTCTGGCTGAAGTGTCTGAAGAGAAGGTGAAGTGCTCCAGACACAAGAGGAGGGTAGTCATGCATGGTCAGGTGCAGCAGGACCCTCAGGAAGGTACGACCACCGTGGTCATCCAGGTCTAATGGAGTGTTTTCCTCACTAAAATACCAGTCATGCATACATTTTATGTATATTTTCTTTACTTAATAACAATTTGCTTCAAGCTATTGTTAAAAGGTTTTGGAGCAATGAGGTAGCTATGGATTACCTTCCTCCAAATATCCCTTCTGCCTGTTCTTCAATGCTCTCAAAATCAAGATTGCCTAAAGTTAGTTAAAATAAAAATCACATTAATAAATATGTTAAAGAAATGAATTTTGATATTTATAGGAGGAAAAACAATCAGGACCTTCGTACCTGGCATTTGACCTGTGACATTACTGGTTCCATTCTGACTGACTATGTTGTCTCCTTGTGAGCTGTTCTCATCAAATTCACGTTTGAAAATACAAAGCAGGCAAGAGATTCTGTAGTCTAGCCGTACATTCAAAATAAACTAAAGGAAAAGAAAAAGATATGTTATAGCACAGCCATAAAGGCTAAGGTATGGGTTTCAAAGAAGAACCAGTTTCCTGATCTACCTGCAGAATCTCAATGATCTTGAGCTTTGTGTCCATGACCATGATGTCTTCTCTCTCGGGCTCAGTCTGTGCTTTGACTGCATCACCCTCTGGCTGATGAGTTTGTGTGGTGGGCAACAAGCCGCCTCCTCGCAGCACTACTTGGGTCATCAGCTCCCCAACTCCATGAATGGACTTCATCACGTTGCTGCCAGCTACAGGGACAGAGAAACACAACATTTCATTTCATTTCAAAGTGAAGAACATTCAAATCTACAGAGATGAAGAATATTTGTGTGACTTGATCTTATTTGTTTTCCACTCTGGATATGAGAAGCCACATTAAAAATGAAAATTTATTAACAGATGAATGACTAAAAAGATGGTTAAAAAGTCACTTTAAAAACATATTCAGAATCAGAATCAGAATCAGAATCTGCTTTATTGGCCAGGTGTGTCAGACACACGAGTAATTTGACTCTGGTACATTATAACTATAAGGTATATTACAACTCACATTTTACAGCAATGAGTCAGTGCCAGACAGTTGCTTATTATTTTGACTTTTCAACACACATCAATGAAGACTTCGTTGTAATTATGGTTTCTTATTACTTGCAGATACCATATTGGCACATATCTGGCAAAATGAGAAGCTAACTGGTCATTTATTAAATAAATCTGACCTTAAATGTGTTTCTGCATGAAAGGTTTGAGAGTAAGGGAAAGGAACTGATAGGTTAAATTACTTAAGATAATTCTGAATCTCTTTGTATGATGAACCAACATCCAAGGTAGTACAACAAATTCTTCACTGATGTACTTAGCAAAGGGTGTTGAGCCTAAGAAGAAGGATGCTTTACCTTTGTTTTCCTCTCCCTTCTCCATCTTGTTGATGGGGTAAATGGTACTGACGTGTACACAGTCTAAAATGTTCAGTAAAATCTTTGTCAGTCGAAGCAGGTCACTAAAGTTGTAGAAACCGAAGTATATGAGGTTCCTTGCCAGGTTCACTACCTATAGACAGGAATATTTAAAACCATGATAATTTATTTAAGCCGGTGTGACATCTCATCTGTTCATACCATCCAAAGCAGACAGTACCTCAAAGGTAAGCTTGTTTTTCTCCTTGTCAGAAAAGGGAATGTTCTGTGACACCACCTCTCGCAGGTAG